TGCTAGGTACATTGTTTGTATGGCCTGCACTGTCTGGGTGGCCATTGTTTTTGTATACCTACACTGTCTGCGTACAATTGTTTTTGTATACCTACTGTCTAGGTACATTGTTTGTATACCTGCACTGTCTGGGTACATTGTTGTATACCCGCACTGTCTGGGTACATTGTTTGTATACCTGCACTGTCTAGGTACATTGTTTGCATACCTGCACTGTTCAGGGTATTATTTGTTTTTGTATACCTGCACCGTCTGGGTGGCTATTGTTTGCACGTACTGTCAGGGTGGCTACTGTTTGTATACCCGCACTGTCTAGGTACATTGTTTGTGTATACCTGCACTGTCTAGTGGCTACTTTCGTATACCTGCACTGTCTGGGTACATTGTTTGTATACCTGCACTGTCTGGGTACATTGTTTGTATGGCCTGTACCCGTCTGGGTACATTGTTTGTACATACCTGCACTGTCTGGGTACATTGTTTGTAAGGCCTGCACTGTCTTGGTTGGAGTCAATGTAAACTGGCACAACTATTTTACTGTATTAATATCTTTCTATCTATCTTTTTAGGGTTATGCCGCTGCCCCAACAAGTGGAATGTGTACCATGAGTGCAGTGACATGTGCCGGACCAGTGGAATGAACGAAAACACCAATCCCTGACTATGAACTAAAAGAACCAAAAAAATGCTGACCAAGTACATCTTACCTACCACTGGCAAGAAGTATGAATTCCCTGGCATGTGAGTATTACTGTAGTGTACCCTGGCATGTGAGTATTAGTGTACCCTGGCATGTAGCATAGTGTACCCTGGCCTGTGAGTATAAGTGTACCCTGGCATGTGAGTATTAGTGTGTTCTGGCATGTGAGTATTAGTGTACCCTGGCATGTGAGTACAGTGCATCTTGCATGGAGTATTAGTGTACCCTGGTACGTGAGAAGAAGTGTACCCCTGCCTGTGAGTATTAGTGTACCCCTGGCCTGTGAGTATTAGTGTACCCTGGCATGTGAGTATTAGTGTACCCTGGCATGTGAGTATTAGTGTACCCTGGCCTGTGAGGCTAGTGTACCCCTGGCCTGTGAGCATGAGTGTACCCTGGCATGTGGGTATTAGGTGTACTCCTGGCCTGTGAGTATTAGTGTACCCTGGCCTGTGAGTACAGTGTACCGGCATGTGAGTATTAGATTACCCTGATGTGAGTACATAACAGGTAGTCCTTCAAGTTATGAACAGATTGAGCCAAAGTTTCCTCCCTGTACTAACACTGGACCATTAGGGTGTGTCACATACGGAGGCGAATTTTTTGAGTTTGAAAAATCGGCCCATGGTATTAATGATGTAGTTCTATGTGCAGAATCGTATATCTTCAGATTTGAAAAAGTTTTCATTTTTGCTAGGTAAATTTTAACTTGAAATCTTATGAAAATTCAGTATTCCCCACCCTTTACCACAACACCACTAAATGAAGCTTATTCAGTAAAGTAAATGTATCAGGTTAATTCTATTAGATGAAAACGATCCAGAATAGTGGTGTTCCAATGGACGGCCAATATTTGCCAAATTTAATATTCCTTAGGAAAACAAAATCATCAAATACAAAAACCGTTTTACTACTACGACCCGGTGTTGCTTTTCGCACACCATAGAGAGAGAGCATGTCTTTCTTGCTTCTGTTTCTACTCATCACCTCCCCTGCTGACCACCTGAGCTCGATGTAGCCTCTCCTCCCTCTCCTGGTTGTACACGGACTGCTGGCCTCAGCCACTTGCTGTACAACGCTTCTATACTCTTGGTGTGCGAAAGGGCCAGGCAGGGACATGCATGGGGTTGTCCAGGAAAGCTCTGACCAAACATTGGTGAGGCTGCAGGTAAGAGGGGTCTCACTGCCAGCCTGATGTTATCCAGACCTATGAGGATCAGTGAGGGCTCCTTGGCACTCAGATTGACTTCAGGAGTCTTCCTGACCCTGAAGGAATCGTCACCAACTGATTCGGCCAGTGCCCAGATCCTCTCATAAGTCTCTAGCATCCAAGATCTTTTGACTGCCACTCTTCTCTCCTCTCATCCTACTGCAGAGCATTGTTCGCAGAACGGCCTCGGATGAGCACAGAAGATCTCCTCACAGTTCGCTCCACAATCTGGACCAAACTTTTTGGCTGACTCCTCAGGAGCTCAAGCTGGAAAGAGAACATGCCTCGGACCTTCGGAGAAATCCATGACTCTGACCTTGGTGGGAACCAATTTGGCAAGTAGACACTCACGACATGAATTGACAATAAGTCTCAGGTTGTGAAGCTGGTTCCCTTTCAGCTTGGCGATGAGCGCAATCTAAATTTGCAGAACCTGAGAGCCAAGTAGAGCCACCTAGAATGTGAGGACTGGACCCATCTGCAGGTAAGTAAGTCTATCAGGCATGACCCCAGTTTTGATGGCACGCAAATCATAAACGGTTAGTACTGGTCAGTACTCAGGTCGCCACGACAGTATGTGCAAGCTCAACGAAAGTGGAGGCCAAACGTGATTTTCAAAGCTCGATTTATTTCAACTCAGTGGCAGAGTCCAGCATCACGCCAAGAGGACCAGACCATCTGTTGTTTGAAAGAGTCTGCCATCCAGCTCCTGGATCAGATGTCTGAGTGGCAACTCGTTGGTGTGGAGGTCAAGAACAATCCAGACCGCTTCCTCCCAATCTTCCGCCATCCACTCCTGTATGACACCCCCTTGCCACCCTTGTGTTCGTGTTGGTGCTGTCCCCTCCAATGGCTCTGCAGGGTCTGGTCTACGTTCTCTCTGGAGCCAGTTCACAATGTTATCTGCCAATTATCTCAGCTGGTTTCCCTTCTGATGTCATCTTTCTGGAGTGAAATGCCACAAATACTTCCTCCTGGTTCACTGCAGCAGGAGTAGCGTTCCTCCGCCTCATGGTGAGGGAACAACTTGTCAGAATTCCAACTTTTCATGAACACTTTAGTGTCATCCCTTCTCCCATCAAAGAACAAACAATTGATTCCATTTTCTTATCCCCTTATCAAACTCCTCTTCTAGGTTACTGACAAGTTTCTCCTGAGCTCTTACTTTGTTATGATCTATCACCAGGTGAACATCATCAGGTGTTATCAAACCATCAATAATCCAGGCAGCTGTTGCTATCTCTGCAGTTTCTCTGAGACCGTGTGGTGTCGCATGCTGGCTAAAGAGCTATGCTCGGGATATCTTTCCTATTTCGAATCTTATGCCTGGAAGGTTTGGGATCATTATTTTCTGGGTTAGGGACAAAGTCACCATTCTCCTGGTCAGCACTCGGATCAGCCATGGGGAAGTTTCATTAAACTCCTGAATCAGTTTGACTCCAATCATCGGCCTTTTACCTCACCCTGGGCCTTCAAGTCTTTTCCCTCGGCAACTCTTCTCCTCTTTCTGTCTCTGTGGCAGCCTGTCTCTTGACCTCGAATATCTTGCTAGAAATCATGAGAGCCCCCTATACTGCCAGTCTCTCTGTGCTTTGGACAAATGCCAGTTCGACACAGGAATCTTCAGTTCAAAACACAGGAGATGTGGGCCTCGATTTATGTAGTCACGACAGCATCCAAGCAAAACCTCAGGACAGAGAACAATTGGGCACTTGCAAGTAATTATGTCAATAACTGGTCCAGTTGCTGGCAAAGCTGTCCTTAACTGCAAAGTTTTCCTCTCCCAAGAGAGATATCTTGCCTTTTCCCAACTGGCTAGCAGTCTCTCACTCTCAATCTTCTTCTGACTTGTTATGACTGGAGGCTTGAACTGAGCTGCTAGCCAGAGTGTACTGTGCCAAGACAGCTTTTGGTCATATATCACTGGCAATGTCTTTGTTTCTGTGTAAGTTCTTGGTTCTTTTCACTGATTTGCCTGATTAAAACACCGTGACTTCAAAGCATCTCTCTCATGTAGGCAACTCCCACTTCAGGAGCTCTCTCCCAGACCCAATATAGTGACTGAGATGGTTGATTTTGGTTCCTCGTCCTGACACAAGCAGCCATCGCAGTCATTATCAACTTATAAAATGCATCAGAATCTGAAACAGAAAAATATTGTTAGTTGGGTTGTTAAAGAGGAAGTCAGAAAGCAATGTTCACTATTTAATTGTAATGCACTAATGCAGCTTGTAATGTGTTAGATCCATGTAGGATGGCCTTCACTACCAAACATGGCAGGTTTTATCTGGGTACCACAGTTTCCTCCTGTACTCAACACTGGACCATGGAGGGAGGGCCTTCACTACCAAACATGGTAGGTTTTCTGGGTACTGCAGTTTCTCCCTGTACTAAACACTGACCATGGAGGATGGCCTCACTACCAAACATGGCAGGTTTTCTGGGTACTACAGTTTCTCCTGTACTAACACTGACCATGGAGGATGGCCTTCACTACCAAACATGGCAGGTTTTATCTGGGTACTACAGTTTCCTCCTGTACTAACACTGGACCATGGAGGATGGCCTTCACTACCAAACATGGCAGGTTTTCTCTGGGTACTACAGTTTCCTCCTGTACTAACACTGGACCATGGAGGATGGCCTTCACTACCAAACATGGCAGGTTTTCTCTGGGTACTACAGTTTCCTCCTGTACTAACACTGGACCATGGAGGATGGCCTTCACTACCAAACATGGCAGGTTTTATCTGGGTACTACAGTTTCCTCCTGTACTAACACTGGACCATGGAGGATGGCCTTCACTACCAAACATGGCAGGTTTTCTCTGGGTACTACAGTTTCCTCCTGTACTAATACTGGACCATGTAGGATGGCCTTCACTACCAAACATGGCAGGTTTTCTCTGGGTACTACAGTTTCCTCTTGTACTAACACTGGACCACAAGTATAAGAATATCATCATCAGCATCCTCTGGATTTTTTACCATATCCATGAAATATTCTTAATGTAACACAAATAAAAATATTGTGATGCCAGACAACAACTTTGGGGTTAATCAGGAGTTAGAACTGCAATTTAATTTCTTTTCTCTGTTGTGAAAATGTTGTTTGTTTACAGTGCACGTTATTACTACTGGAACACCGAGACAGACCTGGTGTCGTGGCTTCCTCCAGGACACCCTCGCTGCCAGGTGTCGCGCTCAGCTGCTACCCTTCGCAAGGAAATGGCAACAGAACTGAGCAAGAATCGCTCGGGAGGTTCAGAAAATGATACCGAGATGACCGGAGTAGAGGAGGAGGAAGATCAAGACGGTGATGACCACATGAGTGACAGATCTGAGGTACTGTACTGTAATCCTCCTCCTGAAGGTGTACTGTACTGTAATCCTCCTCCTGAAGGTGTACTGTACTGTAATAAACCTCCTGAAGGTGTACTGTTCTGTAATAATCCTCCTGAAGGTGCACTGTACTGTAATCCTCCTCCTGAAGGTGTACTGTACTGTAATCCTCCTGAAGGTGTACTGTACTGTAATCCTCCTCCTGAAGGTGTACTGTACTGTAATAAACCTCCTGAAGGTGTACTGTACTGTAATAATCCTGCTGAAGGTGTACTGTACTCCTCCTCCTGAGGGTGTACTGTACTGTAATAATCCTCAAGGTGTACTGTAATCCTCCTCCTCAAGGTGTACTGTACTGTAATAATCCTCCTGAAGGTGTACTGTACTACTCCTCCTGAAGGTGTACTGTACTGTAATCCTCCTCCTGAAGGTGTACTGTACTGTGGTCTCCTGGCAAAATGTAATCCTCCTCCTCAAGGCAGGTGTACTGTACTGTAATCCTCCTCCTGAAGGTGTAGTGTACGGCACAATCCTCCTGAAGGTGTACTGTACTGTAATAATCCTCCTGAAGGTGTACTGCACTGTAACCTCCTGAAGGTGTACTGCACTGCAATAATCCTCCTGAAGGTGTACTGTACTGTAATCCTCCCACAGGTACTGTACTGTACTAATCCTCCTGAAGGTGTATTAGGAATTGGTAATCCTCCCTCCTGAAGGTGTACTGTACTGCAATAATCCTCCTGAAGGTGTACTGTACTGTAATCCTCCTGAAGGTGTACTGTACCGTAATAATCCTCCTGAAGGTGTACTGCACTTCTCCTCCTGAAGGTGTACTGTACTGTAATAATCCTCCTGAAGGTGTACTGTACTGTAATCCTCCTCTTGAAGGTGTACTGTACTGTAATATCCTCCTGAAGGTGTGTACTGTACCTCCTCCTGAAGGTGTACTGTACTGTAATAATCCTCCTGAAGGTGTACTGTACTGTAATAATCCCTCCTGAAGGTGTACTGTACTGTAATAATCCTCTCAAGGTGTACTGTACCTCCTCCTGAAGGTGTACTGTACTGTAATCCCTCCTCCTGAAGGTGTGTACTGTACTGTAATCCTCCTGAAGGTGTACTGTACTCCTCTCCTGAAGGTGTACTGTACTCCTTCTCCTGAAGGTGTACTGTACTGTAATCCTCCCTCCCCAAGGGGGTGTACTGTACTGTAATCATCCTCCCTCAAGGTGTACTGTACTGTAATAATAATCCTCCTAAGGTGTGTACTGTACTGTAATAATCCTCCTCAAGGTGTACTGTACTGTAATCATCCTCCTCAAGGTGTACTGTACTGTAATCATCCTCCTCAAGGTGTACTGTACTGTAATAATCCTCCTCAATGTGTACTGTACTGTAATCCTCCTCCTCAAGGTGTACTGTACTGTAATAATCCTCCTCAAGGTGTACTGTACTGTAATCCTCCTCCTCAAGGTGTACTGTACTGTAATAATCCTCCTCAAGGTGTACTGTACTGTAATACTCCTCAAGGTGTACTGTACTGTAATCATCCTCCTCAAGGTGTACTGTACTCCTCCTTCTGAAGGTGTACTGTACTGTAATCATCTTCCTCAAGGTGTACTGTACTCCTCCTTCTGAAGGTGTACTGTACTGTACTGTACTCCTCCTGAAGGTGTACTGTTCTGTAATCATCCTCCTGAAAGGGTACTATACTGTGTTAGGGCCATCTGAAGATTAGGCCCCTAGCATACTTCACCTGATGGTGAAAGGACCTAATGATACCCGCTAGGTTAGGTTAGTTTTCGGGTGATTAATCTTAAGGTTATTCATAAGCTGTGCACCATAGGATTTTTTTTTTTCCATATTTTCTTTTCAGGTGAAGGAATCAAATGAAATAAATGAAGATGGCAGAGGAAACTAACACTAGAGGGAAGACTCTGTTTGATATTCATGTTCTGTATTATACTACATTCCCCTTACTTTACTTAACAACACCTTGGGGTCGTGTACCAGCTGACTCATCATACACAGATATTAAACTGACTCAGCCTATATTAAATTAACCAAACCTAACCTCAGATATAATAAGCTAGAGGCTAATATTCTGGTGATTCAAACTTAAATGTATACATTTGAAAGACAATCTTGGTTAACTTATAAAGTAACACAGAAGAGGTTCCTCACAGTAGTTAACATCAAGGGTTAACTTACAACATTTCAATATTATATAACCAAAAAAATAATAACAATTGTTGGTTGTGTTGAAGGGATCTGGCGATGAGTCGACACAACGAGAGAAGAGGGATCACGACCGTCGAGAGCGGAGCCGAGAGAAAGGCAGCAGGGAGCGTGGCAAAGAGCGCAGGGGCCGCAGGCAACCCCCCACCGAAGAGTTAGACCCCATGGATCCTGCGTCGTATGGGGAGTGTGGCAGGTATTTTAATTTGGGTGAGATGATGTGACACGACCACAGTCATTCCAAAGTTGTTTGTGTGTAGAGGTTATCCTGTACAGCAGTCCTCAAAATACTGTATAGGAAGGGTGTGTTAGTACAGACTGTACAGAAAGGATGTGTTAGTACAGCATTTTTTAAAATACTGTACAAAATACACCAGCTGATAAAAAGCGAAAATAAATAAAAAATGGCAAACCCAATTGGATGGGGATGTAGCTGTCAGTATTTACATGAATAAAATTTACTCGTGTTATAAACCTACCATAGAAGACATATTTCTGTGCACACAAACATTTACCAGTTCTTTGGATTCATTAAGATCTTTTTTCAACTAAGTTTTTTTTTTGTATTTTTTGTTGTTTTCTTACTTGTGGCCTCACTACTGTAGATGGCTCCATCCATAACACTGCTTTGTCTATCATAACTTTACTAAATGTGATCAGATTTGAAACAATTCACCACAAAGCAATGTATTGTTAGATATTACAATATTGTACTGTACAGAGTATCATATATATCAGGAAACTTTGATAATATGCTTCTGGTTTATTCATTAAATGGCAGCCATCTTCAGCTGTAGGGACGGTGGACATCATCAGTGGAACTTAGCTATAGGGACGGTCGACATCATCAGTGGAAGTTAGCTGTAGGGACGGTGGCCATCATCAGTGGAAGTTAGCTGTAGGGACGGTGGCCATCATCAGTGGAAGTTAGCTGCAGGGACGGTGGACATCATCAGTGGAACTTAGCTATAGGGACGGTCAGTCATTGGAGGTGCTGCGGGGCGGTGGTATCGTCGGTGATTGGCTGTGGGCGGTGGCCATCGTCTGGAAGTTAGCTGGCGGGGTGGACATCATCAATGGAAGTTATCTGTAGGGAAGGTGGCCATCATCAGTGGAAGTTAGCTGTAGGGATGGTGTGTCAGTGGAAGGTGCTTCTAGCAGGGGCGGTAGCCCATGTCAGTGGGAAGACCAGCTGGGGCCCGGTGGCCATCATGGTGATTGGCAAAGGTGGTGGACATGTCGGTGAGACTTGGCTGTAGGGGCCGGTGGCCATCATCAGTGGAAGTTAGCTGTGGGGCGGTGGACATCATCAATGGAAGTTAGCTGTAGGGTGAGCATGTCAGTGAGTTAGCTGTAGGGTGTATATGGTGAGATTCGCTGGGGCGGTGTATATCAGTGGAGATTAGCTGCGGGGTGGACATCTTCAATGGAGATTAGCTGGCAAAGGGAAAAGGTAGCCATCTGTCGAACAGTTAGCTGTAGGGATGGTGGCCAGTATCTAATCAGGGGAAGTTAGCTGGGGCGGTGGCAGTATCTAGTGGAAGTTATCTGTAGAGCTGTTAGCCATATCCAGTGGAGAAGTTATCTCTGTAGGGCGGTGGCCAGTATCAGTGGAAGTTATCTCTGTAGGGCCCGGTGGCCATCATCAGTGGAAGTTATCTGTAGGTGGTATCGGTGGAAGTTGTATCTGTAGGGGCGGTGGCCATCATCAGTGGAAGTTAGCTGTAGGGGCGGTGGCCGTATCAGTGGAAGTTAGCTGTAGATGTTGTATTATCAGTGGGGTATCTGCTTAAGGGCCCGGTGGCCATCATCAGTGGAAGTTAGCTGTAAGGGCGGTGGCCATTATCAGTAAGTTATGTAGGGGCGGTGGCCATTATCAGTGGAAGTTATCTGTAGGGCGGTGGCCATTATCGGTGGAAGTTATCTGTAAGGATGGTGGCCATCATCAGTGGAGGATTATCTGGGGCGGTGGCCATTATCGGTGGAAGTTATCTGTAAGGGCGGTGTATCATCGGTGGAAGTTAGCTACTGTGGTGGCGTATCAGTGGAAGTTATCTGTGGGGCGGTGGCCATTATCAGTGGAAGTTATCTGTAGGCGGTGGCCATCATCAGTGAAGAGTTATCTGTAGGGGCGGTGGCCATTATCAGTGGAAGGTATACCAGGGCGGTGGCCATTATCAGTGGAAGTTATCTGGGGCGGTGGCCCATCATCAGTGGAAGTTATGCTATGTAGGGGCGATTGTATCGAAGTGGAAGTTATCTCGCCCAGGATGGTGGCCATTATCAGTGGAAGTTATCTGTAAGGGCGGTGGCCATCATCAGTGGAGTTATCTGTAAGGATGGTGGCCGTATAGTGAAGTATCTGCTGGGGATGGTGGTAATATGGAGTGTCTATAGGGCGGTGTGGCTGTATAGAAACGATTCGCTCCTGTAGGACAGGCGGCACATGTCAGTGGAAGTTATCTGTAGGGATGGTGGCCATTATCCAGTGGGGATTATCTGGGATGGTGGCCATCTAATGGTGGAGTTATCCTTAGGGATGTTGTTGTTAGTATCAGTGGAAGTTATCTGTAAGGATAATTGGCCATCATCAGTAAATTTATCTGGATGACATTGCTCAGTGGAAGTTATCTGCTGTAGGATGGTGGCCATTATCAGTGGAAGTTATCTGTAGGATGGTGGCCATCATCAGTGGAAGGATATCTGTAGGGATGGTGGCCATTATCAGTGGAAGTTATCTGTAAGGATGGTGGCCATTATCGAGGATTATCTGTAAGGATGGTGGCCATTATCAGTGGAAGTTATCTGCTTGGGATGGTATGCATCATCAGTGGAGATATCTGTAGGGATGGTGGCCATTATCAGTGGAAGTTATCTGCGGAAGTGGTGGCCATATCAGTGGGATTATCTGTAGGGGCGGTGGCCATTATCAGTGGAAGTTATCTGTAAGGATGGTGGCATTATCGGTGGAAGTTATCTTGTGGGATGGTGGCCATCATCAGTGGAAGTTATCTGGATGTGGTGGCCATCATCATCAGTATCTGTAGGGATGGTGGCCATTATCGGTGGAGTTGTATCTGTAGGATGGTGGCCATTCAGTGGAAGTTATCTGTAGGGCGGTGGCCATTATCAGTGGAAGTTATCTGGGATGGTGGCCATTATCGGTGGAAGTTATGTAGGCGGTGGCCATCATCAGTGGAAGTTATCTGCAGGGTGTTTGGCCCTTGTCAGAGAAGTTATCTGTAGGGGCCGGTTGGCCATCATCAGTGGGTTATCTGGGGCGAACGTATCAGTGGAAGTTATCTGTGGGGTGTTGGCCATCATCAGGTAAGTTATCTGTAGGGATGGTGGCATTATCAGTGGAAGTTATCTGTGGGATGGTGGCCATCAGTGGAAGTTATCTGTAGGGATGGTGGCCATTATCGGTGGTTATCGTAAGTTCGGTGCATTATCGGAGGTATCTTGTAGGGTGTTCATTATCTGTAGGATGGTGGCCATTATCAGTGGAAGTTATCTGCAAGGATGGTGTTGGCATATCAGTGGAAATCTGTAGGGATGGTGGCCATTATCAGTATGGAAGTTATCTGTGTAAGGATGGTGGCCATTATTATCGGTCAGAAGTTATCTGTAAGGATAGCGTTGTGCATTATCAGTGGAAGTTATCTGTAGGATGGTGGCCATCATCAGTGGAGATTATCTGTGGGGATGGTGTGACTATCAATTAGGTATCTGTAGGGATGGTGGCCATTATCAGTCAAGTTATCTGTAGGACGGTGGCCGTATCAGTGGAAGTTATCTGTAAATTAATTTGGCCATTATCAGTGATTATCTGGGATGACATCATCAGTGGAAGTTATCTGTAGGGATGGTGGCCATCATCAGTGGAAGTTATCTGTAGGGATGGTGGCCATTATCGAATGAGTTATCTGTAAGGATGGTGGCCATTATCAGTGGAAGTTATCTGCTATATGGTGGGCTATCTGTGGGGCCCGTATCGTTGATTATCTGTAGCGGGGATGGTGGCCATTATCAGTGGAAGTTATCTGTAGGTGGTGGCCATCATCCAGTGGAAGCTATCTGTATCAGTGGAAGTTATCTGTAGGGATGGTGGCCGTGTTATCAGTGGAAGATTATCTATAGGGCCGGTATCATCAGTGGAAGCTATCTGTAGGATGGTGGCCATTATCGATGGAAGTTAGCTATCTTTTCTGTAGGGATGGTGGCCATTATGGGTACGGAGGGTATCGCTTGGGATAATTGTGCCATTATCAGTGGAAGTTATCTGTAGGGATGGTGGCCATTATCAGTGGAAGTTATCTGGGTGGGCGACTATCAGTGGAAGTTATCTGTAAGGATGGTAGCCATTATCAGTGGAAGTTATCTGCTTAGGGATGGTGGCCCATCATCAATTAGAAGTTATCTGTAGGTGTTTGTACATTTATAAATTGATCACCGAGGTAAATTTATGCGTATCAGTGGAAGTTATCTGTAGGATGGTGGCCATCATCGGTGGAAGTTATCTGTAGGGATGGTGGCCATTATCGGTGGAAGTTATCTGTAAGGATGGTGGTATGTGGAAGTTATCTGTAAGGACGGTGGCCATTATCAGTGGAAGTTATCTGTAAGGATGGTGGCCATTATCAGTGGAAGTTATCTGTAAGGACGGTGGCCATCATCAGTGGAAGTTATCTGTAAGGATGGTGGCCATTATCAGTGGAAGTATCTGGGGATGGTGGCGTATCGGTGGTGGAAGTTATCTGTAAGGATGGTGGCCATCATCAGTGGAAGTTATCTGTAGGGATGGTGGCCATTATCAGTGGAAGTTATCTGTAAGGATGGTGGCCATTATCAGTGGAAGTTATCTGTAAGGACGGTGGCCATCATCAGTGGAAGTTATCTGTAGGGATGGTGGCCATTATCAGTGGAAGTTATCTGTAAGGATGGTGGCCATTATCAGTGGAAGTTATCTGTAAGGACGGTGGCCATTATCAGTGGAAGTTATCTGTAGGGACAGTGGCCATCTTCACATACGTGAGGCAGAATAGGGAATCCTTAGCCAGCAATTAAAGGTTCACTGGAGGACGAGTCATACATACATCTTTATGTCCTACCTTTACATTGTACTTTCAGGGGTACTTGGGCATCAGGACTTCCTCAGAGAAATGAAGCACGCACCGGGGCTGATGTAACAGCCAGTGGACCATTGTTCCAGATGCGACCTTATCCATCTCCTGGAGCTGTTCTTCGAGCTAATGCTGCTGCAGGACCCATCGGACCCAAGAAGACTTGAGTCATTTCCCAGTGTTAACGCACAACACACACGGTGAGATCAGACACACAGGGAGAATGTGTGAGAGGAGTGTGTGTGTGTTGCTCTTGGTTCCAGCTACCATATGCCACAAGGAAAGAGTTTATAAGAGTGAACAATATGGGTGATAGTGTTTAAGGCACCATGGTGTTGGAAACAAGTACAGTACTGTATGTGTCCAACAGAATGATATACAGTACTGTACTGTACGAGTTACTGCTGTACTTTACTTCTCTTATTCCTTCAAAACTTTCCCAGTATGGTGCTAGGTGGCTTTATTAAAATTTTTGAAATGTCCTTTGGACAAGTAATTATACTGATATCAAATTGTGAACAAAATTGGTGAGATCAGGATGATGGCCAAAACGGTAAGCCTTACTTACCTCTTACAGGATTTTAGGCCCAAAACACTTTTGCTCAGAATTGAAATTTAATGTGTCTAACTACTGAATTACATTCACAGTAACACATAAACCCCAAAAAGTGACCTTGAAAAACCAGGGTTGATAAAACCAGTGTTTAAATTTTTTTTTTTAATGTCCCTTTTTTTTTAAGTTTTAAGTATTTGTAGCCTTTTTATATTTTTTTTAATATGCTTTTAATCATAAACATTACATTCACGATGATTTAGCAATCACTTATACTCTTTTCTATTTAAAAAAAATCACAGTGCAAAAGTCAAATTTGAAAAAAAAAAGCTTTGATCAGTAATCCAGACTTATCCTACATGCTTAAAGGGAAAAAAATAAGTTTAAGTTCATCTTAATGCATGGAAAACTATTCTACTTTTACAGATGAAAGTTTTAAAGTATTCATTTAAGTGCTGTACAGTAGAAGAGGAAGAGAGAGAGATGGGCAGTGGTAACTTGACTCACCCATAGACAGAAGCAGTCACCAGTTATACGTACTGGACAGTGGCAACTTGGCTCCCTTATAATGAGCCTTGTAAGAAAGCCTATATAATCACCACTTACACCAGTGTACAATTGTTCACATTCATGTATACAGCCATCTCTCTCTTTCTTTCCCATTTACTCTTACTGTTGTCCTGCTGTTCTCATAGATTGCTTTTACCGCACTTAATAGCCTTCCTTCCACTCCATACACTTGTAATGCCTCCCATAGTACTTTTGTCTTCACCCTATCATATGTCCTTTTCCAAATTTACTATAAATCATTAAAACCATCTGTAAGTAATAAAAATTAACAAAAACTTATAAAACCCCGGAAAAAAGGCATAAGTAAACAGTTTCTTTATTGTTGGTTAAGCCTTGGAATAAACCATTAGTTTAAATCGGCTCTTTCTGCAATTAACATTTGCTAGGCCTATGATGTTCTGTAAACTTACCGGTAGGTAAAGTGTCCAAAGTGTGGTGCAGACTGCCATTACCTTGAATATAAACACATATACTTTTTCATGAAACAACACACAATTGCCAAGATCAAAGTGAAGTTATGTTAAGTTTCTCGTGGTCATTTTGTGTATTTTTACCCAACACTTTTGTCTCTATTTCAAAGCATTGGAAATCTTTTAGCCTAAAGTAAGGTTCCTATATTCATGCTGAATTCTATATTTGCCTAATTTATACAGCTCCTCCCTGACTTACAACCACCTGCACTTACGACCTGCCTCAGTCGTACCAAAATTTTGTCATATTACGTATTTTCAAGTCCCAACATCAGTACACAGAAAATTTTCCTTTGTAATTCACTTTAAAATGGCTGGCAAGCTTAAAAGTGAGAGTTTTGGGGTGCTGAGAAGAAAACGAGACACCCATTTTAGATTTTCTATGTATTATTTAAGCATTTTCGACTTACAACCATTTCGACTTACGATCTGGATTTGGGTCCCTAACCCCGTCGTAAGTCGGGGAGGAGCTGTATACTAGGGTGTGACCATTGCCCTCCAAAAATCAAAAAAAGGTCCTACAATGCTGTTCAAAGTTTTAGTGTTGTGTATTTATCTAGGAAACACCCCTGTAAATTTTCTTGGAGATCGGTGCATGTTTGAGCTAGCACCGTCGGCTTTACAAAATAACAAGGAATATTATTATCTAATGAACAAATTTAGTGGAATTTCTTTTATTAGATTTATAAGATATACTAACACCAAGCAAATTATCGAGCATATCAATCTTAATACCCCTAAAACAATATTATAGATTAGTACGAAATACAATAATCCCAATAATTGCATTTCTAGGTTCAAGACCCATTTCTCTCAACTGGCGTACAATGAAAAAAAGAAATACTACTACCCCGCAATGCCTGGAGTGTTTGAGGAGCGCCAGCAGGAGATGGCTGACTTCTTCCGTGAATCTCTAGCCCAACCATTTACACGTGGCGACTACAAGGAGCTGATAGAGCTTTGTCTGCTGCTTGTAACTAAACGATCCGAGCCAGTGAACTTCACGATGGTCTACCCCGGCGCACTTCACAAAGCAAGGTGGATGGCTAAACTGCTCTATACCCTCAAGATTGTTCTTTTTTCAGGCCAGATCAAAGAGCAGTTTCCCAAAGCCAAGGTTGTGACTAAAAGTCAAATCAGCAAGTTAGAACGGTTTGCTGTGTTCACAGTCGCTGTTTTTGTCCCATGGTGGATTGTTTGTCCCGTTCCAGCAAGTGCGCCACTGAATGACTTGAATTTGGTCGAAACCTTGGCTGAATTTGCCCCATATGACGCCACAATAGTTGACAAAGCACGTGTGGCACTCGGTAGACACACTTGGTACCTAACTGAAGAGTTGGGCCCACTGGCTTTGTTCTCATCCCAAGTACAAGAAAGGACAAAAAAGGTTGAGGAAGGCCCTTCTTTGCCATGAAGGCACTGAAGTTACTAAGAGAGTGGGGCTCAGTCATGGGGGCTATGGAAATCCATATCTTCCCCCTGTCCCAGAAAGTGGCACTGCCCTGGTGGACCTAATTGGGCCTGACTCAAGCTGGTTCTTCTCCATTTTAGGCATGCCCTATCAGTTTCTCCATAGTCCAGCCAGTGAATGGGCGGATCATGACGACTACCTGAACATGAAACGGGTTGTGGACAAGCTTCAGGTCGTTAATGAGGCTGCAGAGCGTGGTGTAAAACTTTGCCATGACTTTCTTAATGTTGCCAGGGATGAGGAGCGCTTTCAAGAAGTCCTTCAAGTAGTTGAAAATGACAGACTCCGCGTTCCTAATCAGCGCAAACGATCATCTGTTTCCGAACAGAAATCATGGTTTCTTGCTCTAGAGAAATAATACCTTGTGAATATATGATAAAGCCCCTTAATGTACCATGAGAGAATAAGAATGATTAACTTTTTTGTGTTAGTGATAACAGCTTTTAATTAAGACAGGCAAATGATTTGTGTTAATATCCCTTATGATGGTTGTGTAATCTCATTTATAGGCGCGTATGCCTTACAGTATAAGCAAAATCGCTATTTTTCAAATTGCTGGTGCTCACTCAAATATGCATGAATCTTCAAAAAATTGCACGTGGGTATTTTTTATGTCAATGTGCAACACCAAAATTTTGAACAGCATTGTAGGACAAAGTTGGGGCAACTGTCACACCCTACTGTATACAGTACAGTACCTACATGTCAATTTCACTTATTAGATATTAATATTATCACTATTATTCCATCATGGAATAATGTAGTCTGATCATTAATCTTATTCCTTTGTAGAGGCCTAGTCTTAAAACCTACATTCTTAAATTTCCAGTTACATAGACATTGTTTACACTAATTCCAAACCGTACACAAGACATACTCTTGATGCTTCTGAAAGTTATTACAAATATGGTCAGTAGTTTTATGATGACCTTAAAAAAAATCTCTTATCAACAGGTTCTGCTGTTGGCTGAGTCATCCACCTCACTGCTGCTAGCTGAATCATCCCTCAATGCTGCTGGCTGAATCATCCACCTGATTACTGCTACTAGCCGAGTCATCCATCGCACTACTGCTGCTGGCAAAGTTGATCCTCTGGATTACATCCCACTTGGATGGTTGTCTGTTAGTATGCAATTTAATGTCATGTAACCTAACTAACCTAACATGATTATTTAACTAAAAATGGTAAAAATCACGTAAGACAGACGATTGTCCAAGTGGGATGACACCGCTGAGTCACCCATCTCATTACTGCTGCTGACTGGGTCAACCACACAGATGGTCAACAGATAGCCAACTGTTCATGGAGTTTGTAATTATTTTGGTGTATACAAAATGTGATGTAATGTTTCGTAAGTAAAATAAAGTATTATCCTTATTTTTGTTTTACTTAACACACACTTGAAGTGTTACAGCATTAATGTCCGTATTATGTGAAACAGACACATAACCGACTGCCTCAAGATGGTAACAAGCCGATATGTGACAAAGAGGAGAAAATAAATAAACTTACAGAATTTGAAATAATTTCCCCTACCAAAATATGACCATTTTTTCCCTGCTGATATTATTATGAGAATCGGGTTATATTTTGTAGTTCACACCCATAATATGTTTTTATTATACGTGTGATGAATTCTCAATAACAAAAATCAATCAAAATTTTCTCTTTAAAAACTTATTTGACGTCATATTAAGGACCTACCAGCCAAAAGCATTATTCTTAGGCTCTACCAGAAAACTACCCTCTTTGCCAACTGTACTAGCACCCTCCACTGCCTACTGTACTAGCGCCTTCCACTGCCCACTGTATTAGCGCCCTCCACTGCCCACTGTGCTAGCGCCATCCACTGCCTACTGTACTAGCGCCTTCCACTGCCCACTGTACTACCTGCCACTCCCACTGTACCCACTACTGCTACTAGCCTCCACTGAAAATACAGCTGTACTGCAGTGCCTGTACTACTGCCCACTATACTAGCCCCACTGCCCACTACTACCACCCACTGCCCACTGCCTTCCACTGCCCACCGTACTAGTGCCTTCCACTGCCCACCACTGCAGCCTTCCACTGCCAGCCTGTACCAGCGCCCTCCACTGCCCCACTATACTAGCGCCTTCCACTGCCCACTGTACTAGCCTCCACTGCCTTCCACTGCCCACTGTACTAGCGCCTCCACTGCCCACTATACTAGCGCCTTCCACTGCCCACTGTACTAGCGCCTTCCACTGCTCACTGCTACACGCCCACTGCCCACTGCACAGCCTGTACCACTGCCCACACTAGTGCCTTCCCACTACCATATACTAGTGCCTCCACTGCCCACTATACTAGTGCCTTCCACGCCCACTATACTAGTGCCTTCCACTGCCCACTATACTAGTGCCTTTCCACTGCCCACTATACTAGCGCCTCCACCCACTGTACTAGCGCTGCCTTAAGCGCCCACTGTACTAGCCTCCACTGCCCACTATACTAGTGCCTTCCACTGTCCACCGTACTAGCCTCCACTGCCCACTATACTACTCCACTGCCCACTGTATCGCCCACTGCCCACTCATAAGTGCCTCCACTGCCCATTGTACTAGCACCTCCACTGCCCACTGTACTAGCGCCTTCCACTGCCCACCGTACGCCTCCACTGCCCACTATGCCTAGTGCCTTCCACCGCCCACTGCACTAGCGCCTCCACTGCCCACTATACTAGTGCCATCCACTGCCCACGTATTAGTGCCTCCACTGCCCACGTACTAGTGCCTTCCACTGCCCACCATACCAGTGCCCCACCGCCCACTGTACTAGTGCCCTCCACCGTACTAGCGCCTCCACTGCCCACTGTACTAGTGCCTTCCACTGCCCACTGTACCTAGTGCCTTCCACCGCCCACCGTACTAGCGCCTTCCACTGCCCACTATACTAGTGCCTCCACCGCCCACTACCAGTGCCTTCCACTGCCCGCTGTACTAGCACCAGCCCACCTGTACGCCCACTGTACCAGTGCCTTCCACCGCCCACTACCAGTGCCTCCACCGCCCACTGCCTAGTGCCTTCCACCGCCCACTATACCAGTGCCTTCCACTGCCCACTATACCAGCGCCTTCCACTGCCCCACCTGTACTAGCCTCCACTCCCCAGTGCCTTCCACCCACCGTACTAGCGCCTCCACCGCCCACTATACTAGTGCCTTCCACTGTCCACTGTACTCCACTGCCCACTATACAGCGCCTCCACCGCCCACTGTACTAGCGCCTCCATGCCCACTATACTAGTGCCCACCGCCCATTGTGCACCTGTACAGCGCCTCCACTGCCCACTGTACCTAGCGCCTCCACTGCCCACCATGCTAGTGCCTTCCACTGCCCACTGTACTAGCGCCCTCCACTGTCCACTATACTAGTGCCATCCACGCCCACTGTACAGTGCCTTCCACTGCCCACTGTACAGTGCCTTCCACTGCCCACTATACTAGTGCCTTCCACTGCCCACCGTACTAGTGCCTTCCACTGCCCACCGTACTAGCGCCTCCACTGCCCACCGTACTAGTGCCTTCCACTGCCCACTGTACTAGTGCCTTCCACTGCCCACTGTACTAGCACCTTCCACTGCCCACTATACTAGTGCCTTCCACTGCCCACTATACTAGTGCCTTCCACTGCCCAGCTGTACTAGCACCTCCACTGCCCACAGTGCCTCCACCGCCCACTACAGTGCCTTCCACTGCCCACTGTACCAGTGCCACCACTACTAGTGCCTTCCACTGCCCACTATACTAGTGCCTTCCACTGCCCACTATACTAGTGCCTCCACTGCCCACCCAGTGCCCTGCTGTACTAGCACCTCCACTGCCCACTGTACCAGTGCCTCCACCCCACTGTACTAGTGCCTTCCACTGCCCACTATACTAGTGCCTTCCACTGCCCACTATACTAGTGCCTTCCACTGCCCACTATACTAGTGCCTTCCACTGCCCACCTGTACCAGCGCCCTCCACTGCCCACCTGCTGCCCTCCACTGCCCACTCACTAGTGCCTTCCACTGCCCACTGTACCTGCGCCTCCACTGCCCACTATACCAGTCCACTTCCACTGCCCACTGTACTACTGCACTAGTGCCTTCCACCGCCCGCTGTACTAGTGCCTCCACTGCCCACTCATACTAGTGCCTTCCACTGCCCACTGTACCAGCACCTCCACTGCCCCCACTGTACCTGCGCCTCCACTGCCCACTATACTAGTGCCTTCCACTGCCCACTGTACTAGCGCCCTCCACTGCCAATTGTACAAGCGCATATATATATATATATATATATATATATATATATATATATATATATATATATATATATATATATATATATATATATATATATATATATATTTATATATATATATACAAGAAAACACGTAGTTCCCAAGCGCTCTGGTGTAATTCACATACAGTAGATGATCGTTCATGTTGTGTTGGTAGTGAGACACAACACTGTACGAGTTGTGACGAATTTTGTGAAGACTCAGATGGTTGTCGTCTATTAGTTGTAAACTGAACCAAGATAAGGCTAATCTAGTCCAAAACTTTAAGGTAATTATAATAATAAGCGTATTATGAGATAATACAGCTTGTATTAACTAATTATATAAGTTGTATTAGTGTTGTTGTGACGTGTTGAACGTCAAAAGGGAAATTTTAATGTTTGACAACATCAATAACCGATCCTATTGTATGTTTCGTTATAATATGTAACTCAGTATAGATTTAAGCAAGTAAAGGTAACTGCATTACATGAGTAGTTCAACGTAGACCACAGTGAAGGACACTGACGGAGCAGGTAAAGACAAGGTTAACCTAACCGGGTAACCAAATTATCCATAGTAGAAGAATACGTGTTTCTAACCTTAAGAATAACATAAATTAGTTGGAGGGATTAAATTTGTATTTTTTTAGGTTTTCTCCAGTTTTTCCTGTGGCTAATGATGTTCCGTGCCTGGTATTCTTTCAGTTGCAACCGAAAATTTTTTGAGAATTTTATGGTTGCAATCAAATGTTCAGACAATTTTAAAACACTTTTCTTTTATGGCGTTTCTCGTGCAAACCACTTATATATGCCTGGGGGTCCAGGGGCAGAGGCCCTTGGTCAGGTTGTTAGGTCATTTCAGAATATTTACCCGAGTACTTTCCGGCAACTGACTGTATTTGCGGAATGCATCTCAGCAACCAGCGACCTTTCCATACCTGGCTAATGAAACCTAACCTGCATGATTTAACCTTAAAATAATATTCTTCCATCCTAGGAAAGGTAAGTTATTTTGGTCCAATTTATTTACGATATATTTTATAGCTCTTCCACTGTGGGGATGCGGCTTTTAATATTTTATTTGGCTAACACCAGATGATTTTAATCAACTGAGAGGGGACCCCATACACAAGTGGTTAATGTAATATTTCCTGTAAATATTGATTTGTATGGAAAGGATGAAACTAGGAAACATTTGTGTGTTGCCAAACTAATATTAAAAAAATTACAAATCAAGGAAATAATCCAAATGGAATAAATTGCTTTTCCTATACAGTACCAGTACTGTACGGTACTTGATTTGGGTTATTTTTGAGATACCAAATAAGTTTTCTTCTATACCGATTTTATGTCAGGTAGCTGGATAACCCGGACCCCTGTTGTTAAGTGTTACATTCTTATGTCAATATTTTACAGAATAGAAGAAAAGTTGCACCCACTTGGCTTTAAGTTATACACAAAAATTTACTTCTATTTAACAAATTTGTTTTTTGATCTCTTGACAAAAATTACTTTGAACTTAGTTATAAACGAGCAGTTAAGGGAAGTGACATTAACCATCCCTTAATTATGTGTGGTGTATTAACAGCAACGACCCTCTGTGTTCATAAAGGGGACAAACATCAGGAACTTTTGGTTATTTATCAAAGCCCTTGAAGGTATGGAGACCAGTTGTTGTTGCTTCACAGGATTTGCATTTTTATATTAGCCTTAGTTCTTAATGTAAATAAATGTCCTTTGCCTACCATAACACCATTTGTGGTGCTTGAACTGTTGACAAAAGCTTCACAGAAACTGACTGAACACTAAAGGACGGAATGGTTATCAGCGACCTCTCCATACTTTACCTGACCAACCTAACTAAGCCTAAAATAATGTACTGTGCTATACCTCCATCCTGGAAGTGGTGGGGGTGGTGGGTATGGAATGGTTGGTGGGAAGCGTTCTTGTGGATGAAACGCTGAAAACAGCATCATCCGGACTGAAGTGGGTGTATGCAGATTAGTGTTCAGGATAAATAAAAAAAAAAATCTTTTAACACTATGTAATACAGTACCGCCACACCTCCCCGTTGAGAGCTATAGTGCGGTGTTCTTCACAACTCAATTTTATTTTAAAACTGATAATATACACGAAGATCACCGTCAATGGAAAGTGGCATTTAAAACTACTGGGGTAAATAAGTGACATAAGATTGAATAAAGTTAATTTGGTAGGAGTACAGTACTGTACAGTATAAGAGACATGTTAGTATTGCATCATCCTTGATCTCTCTCTCTCTCTCTCTCTCTCTCTCTCTCTCTCTCTCACAAGTTGTGTTGAGTGTAAGAGCAAACTTACTTCTCCAGTCTCCTGTGTAAATTATATTTTTCTTTTTCTTACAGTGTGTGAATAACAGATGTTGATTGAATGTTTCGGTTAGCATCTTCCTTGTTGCCAGAGCGGGCTGTCCAGACCCTCACTGCTGCCTATTTTCGAGGTATTTTGTATAGATAAAATTTTTCAAGCGTCGATAAATAGTTTCTTCGTCTGAATTGTTCATTTAATTTCAATTGTTGTCAAAGATCTAGCAGGATATATAATAAACACTTAAAAGTTACTATGAAGAATACTCTATACATAGCCCTTTGATAATTATAACACACCTTTGAATATGATGACTTAAGCCATCATTCTAAAGTGGATAATAACCCATTTATTCCAAGCAGATAAAAAGAAAACTTGCAGATAGTAAAGTATTTGAAACTATGTACTGTACTGTACTCTAATAGCCTAATAAAAGTTGGTGAGTGACTTGATATTAACTAAAGGATAGTGAATTTTATTCAATTTAAAATGAAAATGATCCATTTCCTTGAAGCTGACTTACAATAAATGACATAACATTACAATCTTGACTCGAACACTTGCTGGGAAGCTTCTAATATAGGTTGGACAGATATGTGAGCGATAGGGGTTCGGTGTAAATGGTACTGCCTAGTATGGACCAATAGGCCTGTTGCAGTTTCCTCCATTCATATGTTCTTAAGCTAACCTTGGAAAGCTATTTTAAACCTTACCGCTTTGCTCAATGAAATCATCTGTCATTCGCCAAATGAAGTACAGTATTACAAATGATGCCCCATAGTGAAGGGCTTAGTGGAGATAGATTATTGACTGCTTGGGTACGAGGAGTCTCTCTCTACCCAATAAAATCATCTAGTACAGTATAAGCCAAAATTAAATACAGTGGTCTCTCGGTTAATGAACACAATTCGTTCCAGAAGGTCGTTCGTTAACCGAAACCATTGTTTCAATGGGATTTTGGGTAATTGGTTCCAGCTCACCGAAAATTACATACAAAGTAAAAATAAATGCAGTAAAGTACACTTACTTTGAGGTGTGTATGTAGAGGCTCCTGGTTGATGATGATGATGGGAGAAGGGAGAAGAGAAGGAAGTGGGGGTGGAAGAGAAATCACCCCATGCTTCCTGCCGTCATTTCACCCATAAAATTTTAAGTTCACTCGGTGTAATTCAAGATTATTTTCTTTAAGTCAACACTGCACTGCACTATATATTGTCAATATGTTAAATAAATTTCAGAATGACCAATAATTGCAAAACTGTAAAGACGTAAAAATAGTTTATGTTCAAGAGAGCCACAAGAAAGATGCTACCTCCACTGACCAGAGATACAAACTAATGCCTTGGTGGGTGAGTCAAGTGGCTGATTGGCGCACCAAAAACTAGTTTCCTGTACTGCAATTAGGTTAAATAAGTGTTAAAATTACTAAAAAAAATTAATATAAAACTTGGAAAATTATTGAATAGTACAACCTTCTTGATATTTACTCAAATGGGAACAAATTTAAGCCCTAGAACCGATTACTGTATTGGCGGACTAATATTCCAGCTGGTGAGCAAGCGAAAACATGTTGACATGATTTCGTAAGAATTTCGTTAACCGAATTTTTTTTCGTAAACCGAATTGAAGATTCTTATGGAAGGTAATTAGTTAATCGAAATTTCGTTAACCGAGGCGTTCGTTAACTGAGGGATCACTGTATTGAAAGTGGCATCCCATAGTGATGAGGTTAACCATTACTGTACTAACTACCCAAGCTTCCCATAACCGTCTCTGGCTGCAACATATTCGTGATTTACCGTACTTCCTTCTTCACTTGACTTTTGAAATCAATTTCTCTGACATTTATTTTTATACATGATCTAATAATGTTTTATGAACATTTATATACATTACTGTACTGTACTGTATGAGCCTTGTTATTTTTCAGTGTGGGATTATGAGGATGTTTGGTCATATGCTATAACAGTATTTGTAGTGAAAATTGGGAATCTGAACATTTACTTCATTATTATTCAGATACTATGACACATTATACAGTATAGTATGTTGACAAGGAATATACAAAATGAAATGCACAGTTGCAGGCAAAGTTCTCTGGACACTTGACTGTACAGTATACAGTATGTGGCATGTAAGTACTTGAAGATTATTAGGTAAAGGGAGTTGTATTTTTTACCTGCTGTATCATATTTTTCTTTGTATTAAGGGATGTTTTCCAGTTTGTGCTTCTGATATACTGTACAGTAAGATCAGCTTTATTAGATATAAACTAGTTTTACCCCAAAAAGTAGCTTAAACTGTACACTGTAACATTAAAACTTAAAATTGTATCCATAAAAACATTAACAGAAACATATATAGTAAATAACAAAAATGAAAGCATAGAAAATATACAATTAGTTTACACACTGCATCACTCTGGTTGCCTCAGCAACACAGCCCAGTTGTCATGCTGCCTAGTCCCAGCTGTGGTGCTCAACCCTTTAACCTTTCCACACTCACACCTACAGTTTGAATCTTCTTTGCTGGTCACACGGCTTCACTTTACTTTATCATAGTGGAAACTCATGGGAGCTTAAAATTTTATACTGTATTGTACAGGTAGGAAAAACTGGTGACAATATACAAATAGTGTACAGTACCTGTATATGATACTGAGGTGACTCTACCTGTACTGTATGGTATTACTTTCATCCAACACTTGGTACAACATGGTTGATGGTAAACATTTATGTTGTACATCCAACACTTGGTACAACATGGGTGGTGGTAAACATTTATGTTGTACATCCAACACTTGGTACAACATGGGTGGTGGCAGTGGTGTGTCCAAAACATTTTGGTTGGGGTGGCCAAGGTGGGACACAGACCCGATATGTGTTACGGGGGAGGGACAGGGCATATAAAATTTCAAATGAATGCCATGTGATGGAAAGGTGTAAATACAGCGGTTCAATCAATTTAATGCTTCAAGTTAGGTTTGTACATCTTCCTATTGAAATAATTCATACATCAATTTCAAAACTCATAACATTATCTTTTTCCATGTTTGAACTCAAGGCCAGGATGATATATAAGCATACAACACTAATTTCACTTTCAAAGTGTCTTCTATAACTGTAAAGTAAAATGACTAGAATAGTACCAACTTAAACCTGTTGAAGAATAAAGATAACTCAAGATGCATCTGCTGTTCAGTTTTCCTCCTATCATATTTTCAGGAATAAAAAATGCATTTTATCTATTGAAACAAGCCTATTCCCAACCAGTTATGTCCAAATGAGGTCACACCACAGTAACCTAATAATCATATAAGAGTAATAAGGATACATGCTAAGGTAATAATCCACCCATAAACAATGGTGTCCACAATGGGGTAGAATATCCTCCTCCTGAAGTTGTCTTTGTCACCAACATTACACCTATTGTGGATGTTACAATAGACTCACCCAGTTCTGCAGTGACCTCTTCTCAGCATTTTCAACAGCAACATTACACTGATTAGTAGTGTCTACAGTGCCTTTCCATAGCTCCTCAACAAATGACTCTTTCCTGTACTTCTGAATTGTATCCTGATGTGCTTCAACCAAATCCACCGCCCTAACTAGGCCAAGTGAAGGTGATTGTAGTACCTGTATGTTGGATATCAACATAGTATCCCCAAGGAGTTTTCACAAAGTTGCAAGAAATACTTAAAAATAATATATTCAATATTCAGGCACTCAAAAATTGCAATGACTACCTGAGAATATTAATTTCTTACCTCAAAAATCATTGCACTCGGTCAGTGCCTGTGTAAACAGAACTCCCGGCTTCCCGCTCAGCTGACCGGCAACCATTTTCTTATATTTCTACCAATGGCAGACTTAAATGAACAGTGTGGACCATATAATAGTTATTGCATTGCACTCGAAGTTGAATTAATTTATTTATTCAATGACCTATCACCATACACATCTCACCACTTCTGAGTGGGGGGGCACTGGGGTGGCCAATCAGATTTCCGGGGGCAATAGCCACCCCTTGGACACGCCACTGGGTGGAGGTAAACATTTATGCTGTATTACTTTCAGCCAACGCTTGGTACAACGTGGGTGGAGGTAAACATCACAGCTCCCAAACTGCCATTGATCACACCATGATGAAGGTCAAAATACTACCAGCACTTTCTGATAACTACATGTACCTGGTGAGTCTACCTGGTGATGGTTCGTGGACTTGGTAAGTCTACCTGGTACAGTTGGCACCACAATACTGACAGGGTTTCCTCGGTTGAATGTAGTCATTTAGTGTTAGCCAGATGAAAATACTGAAGGATGAGAGGGGTATAAATTCTTGTTTGAAGTAAGGTGTTCCTCTCCAAAATGGGGCATTTATGGATTATTGGGTACATACAGGTAGTTCTCCTATAACGCGATAATTGTGTTCATGTAAAATATCGTGTTATAGAAAATCGCGTAATAGAAATAACAGGGCTTATGGAGAAAATAGGGTTAGGTGCAGATTACTCGAAATCGAAAAAATTTAGTAGTTAGCCTAATACAAAGGATAGCACAGTCTAAATAAATGTTACATTCATATCTAATAATGAAATCATACAGTAAATGTAACACTTTAGTTGATGGGGGAGAAGGGTGATTTTGAGGTTGGGTTGATAAAATCGAGCTTCTCTTCAAGTGTTATATCCTTTCTTTTACGATCATCACCGGGAATTCTATCACCAGAATGCTTCTCGTTGATATTCTTTACTATATTCACAGTTAATACAGTGGGGTATGCTATAACGAACGAAACTCCTACAACGAACATTATTTAATTTTTTTTTTGTTTTTTTCTAATTTATTGTTTTTTTATTACAAATATTAATGATATTCTTTATTTCAGGGGTTTAGATGCATATTTATGCACTTTTTTACAATTTTTACAATTTTATATTATATTTTTCAGTGTTAAGTGGTTGTATTTGGGGGCCTGGAACGGATTAATCCTATAACGAACGAATGCTATAACAAACAAGGTTCTAGAACCAATTAGATTCGTTATAGCATACCCCACTGTACCACAAAATTGGAGAAATAGTAAGCAAAAATCGCGTTATAGCAAACAAGCGTTCGCGTTATACAAATATCGTTCCTAATTCATAAATCGCGTTAGAGCAAATTCGCGTTATCAAAACACGCGT